ATTCCCAATATTCTATTTGAACACAAATTAAGGGTGTGTATGAGACGATTTGATTTGATTATTGGTCAAAACCGAACTATAATCATTATAATTGGTTAATGTATTTTGATAGCCATTGAGGAACGGTTAATATTGGTTTTGGTTAACGATTTTAGTCATTAATGGTTATGGTTAATGGTTAATGTCGGTTAGTCATAATGGTCTAAAATGACATAAAAATAAAAACATTCTTCTATCAAAATTGAAAAACATAAAGTCCATTGCTATAAAAAATAAATGATTGTGTATATATATTTGTATTGATAAAACATTACTTCTCCTATGTAGTTTCAAATAATTACCATTTAAAATTTTAATTCCTAATATAATTACCTACCAAATATTTTTATATTATATTATATTATATTAGAAAACATTTATTAATATTATTGGTTCGGTTCGGTTTATAGTGGTTTGGTTTTAAATGAAAACCATAATCGAACCATATGTATTCGGTTAATCAAAATTACAAACTGCATCATATATTTTAGTAATGGTTCAGTTAAAATAGTTCGGTTATATTAATTAATTGGTTCTTGTTTAGTTTTTCGGTTAATATCTTCACTCCTAACACACACAATTCGATTTGGGCTTGATTATGTAATGGTGATCAGTTGTTTGGATCCGTAATTGGCATTTTAATTGGTTAAAATAATGACATATCACAATCGATTTTGTATAAATTCTAATGTATGGTACTATGATATCATTTTGGTATGGTATAACATTTCCGATTATATGAGGGTTCATTTTGGTGTTTTTCCTATTCTCTATGCAGTTTGCATGCTAAATATATAACTTTTTAGAGTAAGCTTGCTTTAATTTTGATATTTTAGGAAGACGGGTTATGAGCTTGTTGATGACCATGACCAACCTAAAAGGAGAGCAAAACTAACGGTTAGAACTTTTCATTTCTAAGAATCTATAACAACTTATATAGATAGACAATTATCAACATCTAAAAGTCATGTATTCTGGTGTGTTATGGTCATGTTTTGCAATAAAATGTTATTAAAATTTCAATGTAAATTAAGAACATTTTATTTGATTGTAGTTTAGATTAGATCGTTGCTTTCAAGATCCCCTTTTGTTAAAAAAATGAATAAATGCATGATTACTTTGGTGTATTTCTTAATTATTGCGAGGGCATCCAAAATGAATTGAACTCCAAAGATTTCAATGGATTGTCACATCATCATTCTATATGTCATATAACTATAATTTTTTTCCACAATGCATTGAACTTTACAAAGTTCAATGGAACATTACAAAAACTACTTTATAATATTTATTTAAAAGTTACAACCTTTTTTTTTTCACTGAAGAGCTCAATGACCATTGAATTCCAAATCCTTTGAATGCCAATGTGCCATCTTACAGTGGTAGAGTTTAATCCATTGAATGGAAAATATACTTTCCACCTCATTCAACTCTCACATTGAACTCTCCATTATAGATACTCTATATATTTATCAGTTGTTTCACATAATATAAAAACACACACAAATACACACACACACACACACACACACACATATATATATATATATATATATATATATATATATATATATATTGTTTGGGGGTTTTCACTACACATCAAATTTAATTTTCTTATTTTATATAAAAAATATTTTAATTATTTATATCTTGTATTTTATTAAGTTTTAGTATAAGACAAGATGTAATTTGTATACCATTTGTAACACCAGTTCCAAGTATATATTTCCCTTTGTGTTTTTGGCATTTAAAGATTAAAATATGGAGTTTTGGTTGGTCATGACGTGGTAGGGGAAGGCACCATGGCATGGTCTCACCCGATGGAAACACGCCTTCATTTTGAGTGCCACGACGTGGCGGCCGCCTGCATGCAAAACCCTAATTTTCGGGATTAATGCCCCCACTTAAGGGGTGTGATGGCTAGGGTTTGCACACCCTCAACCTCCATCACCTCCCTTTCATCCCAAACAAACCCTAGCCTCCATTATTGATCTTGTAAGCTTTTGTGGTAGTTTTTTTGTCCTTTGAAGAAGAATAAGGTGTCTTTGGTGCATTGTTCCAACAAACAAATATTCTCCTCATCATTTTGTGTTGTTTCTGGACTCTTGTAAGTCCTCAAGCTTCTACCTTTTGTGTTAAAGCATGTTAGATCTAGTTTTTTATGCATTTTCTCCATGTTTGGGAGAGTTTGAGTGGAAGGATTCCATAAAGTTGGAAAGTTTATGGATCCTTGAGGTCCCTTTGAGGTTTAATGTTCCAGATCTGAATAGTGGTTGAGTTTTGGTTCCATGCATGAGGTTTTGACCTCATTTTCACCCTTTTTGACCTAACCAAGTTCAAGACATGCATTGGACATGCATGTTCGTAAAGAAAGGGTTTTTATGAAGCTAATGGACGTTAGGAAGCTTTTTGGAAGAGATGAGAGTGTTACTTCATAGATTAAGGGCTTAATCCATTAAGCTGTCCAAAAGCAGGTCCCACAATGTGATATCTTGCTCACCACACCGTGGATGAGGAGTTCTTTGCGACTGATTGTTTGAGTTGCTGCCATGACGTGTCAGCTGGTCTAGTCGTGACTGTTTCGTCGTGGAACTGGTACAACATGGCCAGTAGGTGGCCATGACGTGGTGGCTAGTTGTTGACTTTAACCGTTGACTTTTTGACCAAGTTGACTTTTGGACAACTTGAGGGTTTTTTGGGTTGTAGATTGAATACTGGTCCATGTTTGTTGTATATGTAACTCGTAGTACTAGTTCTTGGATTTGTGTGAGCTGTATTATTTACCTTCTAGACTGCAAGGTGATTTTTCTCGCTATACTTGGTACTGCATTATGTATCCTTGTATATAGGATGTTCGTATGCTCTAGTTATCTGTTAGATTGGTAGATCTGTTATGATTACATGTGCTTTCTGGTTATTGTTTATATGTTTGCATATGTCGACATATTGTGGTTGGGTTGAGATGGTCCTGCTTTGTGTTGTAGGCCAAGATACCCAAGTAGTCCATGTGTATTGTATGCCTTGCATACGTAGGCAATCTAGTCCCTTTAACTCATTGTATCTGGTTTACATTGCCACATCAGATTAATTGCTCACATAGGTGATTACATGGCAAGAAGCTGAGGAGTTCCCACCACCGAAACGACGTCGACTTGTATATGAATTGTAGGGAGCACACTTGCACTGTTCAAGGTGCCTCTGTATAAAACAAAAACCTTTTTTTGCCCTAAAATGGCACATCTGGAAAGTTTCTTACCCTAATATCATCTTTAACTTCACCCCCAAATTGGCAAAATGCCCGAACGAGAATCTCCAGAACACAGCTAGCCACCCAACTACTAGCGTCACATGGAGGAGAATCACCCCAATGGTGTATGCCATGAAGACATGATGATCAATCTAATGCAAACCCATATGGAATTGTCTCTTATACAGGAGGAGATAGCCAACAATTTGCGTGAGCTCCGACATGGTTTAATCGAGATTTGGATGCCCTCAACCATGAACTTGATGACGTACGTGCTGGTCAGCTCGACATCTCAAACATGGTTGCTGATCTTAAGAACCATTTCTGTTCTCTACAAGCTGCGTATGTGAAGATGGTCGTGGGTCACAAAAACATAAGAAAGTGAAATGTATTCTTGGGATTGTTGGTGTCACTACTGTAGGTGTGTTCACCTACATGTTCTTCAAGTAAGTGAAGAACTATAGGATACAACATTTCATTCCTGGGTTTGTCTTTTGGTGTGTTGTTTATCTTGTTTATTAGCGATATTAGTAAGTGATTTTATGTGTGCTAGTGATAGTTTATGGACATGGTGCAAATAGTTGGTGGTCGTGGTCATTCGTTTCTCATGAAGTATGTGGTGATGATCTTTTATTGATGGTAATCAGTTGTGCTCATAGTCGTAGATAGTAACATGCATGTTAGAATCCTTTTGTAACTTGTCTAAGATATGTAATAGGATACTATGATGTAAAAAAACTCATGTATGAAATGTTGGTTTTTAAGTAAAAAAAATTTGGGTTATCTGTATGTGCATGAATGGGATGTCCTTGTCTTTAACCCACAAATAGAAACGCCTATTGAAAAGTGCATTTTTTTGTTGTTTTAGTGTCATTTTCATCTAAAAAAACTAGAATATCCCTAATGAAATAAGTGACACAAAACCAGTGCCTGAAATGCCTTAATTACCCGTTCATCCTAAATTTTAGAAATGACGAAAATACCCCTAATGGGTTACCTTATTTAAATGACTAAAATATCCCTATGAAATTAGGTAGTCTAAATGACTAAAGCACCCCTAATCCCTTTACTAACTTAATGGAAATGACTAAAACATCCCTACTCTATTTTGTAAGTTTAAGGACTAAAATACCCGTAACAATGTAAGTGATTACAATGATCATACTACCCCTATTTGTTTACTTAATTGACATAAGTAAAAGAGCCATACTTGCTTAAAAAATGTAAATGACCAAAATGCCCCCTACTTCTTTAAGTAATAGAAATGACTAAAATACCCCTATCAACTAAGTGAATTAAATGAGTAGAATACCATTTACAAGCATTTTTATAACATACCACAACATTACAAATACCATTTCATTGTTTACAAAACTCACGAATGATAAATACCACATGAATCCTTGTTCTCAAACATAATTATACGATTAAGTAACACACACACAAGCAATAAATAAAAACATTAACCAATGCAACTCCATGGCCGTTCCAACACTGCTACCTTCACCTTTAATTCTTTTAGAAAGCTTAAATTTAATGATTCGTTCAGACTTTTTCCTGGTGGTTGGTGATCTTACATTGTGACCATGATGAACCCTTGCATTGACCCTGACCCCTTTCGTATCTGCATTGACTCCCAACACTTTCCGATCCTTACTAGTCCTGATCACTTCCTCACCTGCCTCAACCATGACCTCATCCTCCCTACTTTGTGGTCTTATATTCACAGACTCCTGTGTCTGTATAATCTTTTGTTTCTTTGTCTCATTTGTTTTGGTTGACCATGGAACTTGACTGCATGTAGCCTTGTTGTGGCCTTTCTGTTTGTATATGCTATAAGAAACCTTATTCTTCGCCTTTGAAATTGTGTGTTTTCCAGACCTTTCAGAAGCATCCATTCTCCTCTTCATGGTTGGCCTGCCTAGCATTCTTCTTCTCAATGGAGGCAAAAGGGGTGTGTAGTATGTACAAGGCCACATGTTTACTCCATTCATCCCATGGATTGGCTATTTGTAAGTATTATGGAAGAATGATGCCAAGTACATTGGATCTACATATGACCCATCAAGTGTAACATTTAAATATGCTAAGGTAGCAATTGAATGAACGCACCCATACCCATTTTGTTGCCATTGCCTGCAAATGCATTCCTTTTTTTTTGTACATGAACAATATATGCCTCATCCATTTTCCTTGCTTCAAACTTCATACCCCAACAAGATACAACCGGCCAATGCCTACATAATGTAATGAAAACATTTAGAGTTGTGACAGGTTAGCTATGTATGAATAAATAAATGTACAAACCTTTACTCAGTTTGGAGAATATTCCACCTTGCTATGATATTTGGACAAATAGAGTAACGATTCCGTCCTTGTCTGATTAGTTTCATAGACACCATCCTTTGCATCACCTATATACTATGTCCTATAACATGCTGATGATAGGTTTCTTACGAGCATTGAAAAATGACATTATTAAAGCTCTCTGAAAATTCATTCTCCAAAGACTCACAAGATGAATTGTGAAATCTGAAAAAAGCTAAAGACCAAATTTTTAGATCTCTATCCATAATATGCACAACGACAACATGATTCAACTTTTCAATCTATTTCATGTCTATATTAAAATGTGATTCAGTTGTTTCCTTGCTTGCTCTCCAAAACAAATTTTCAAACTTGGCTCCACTAAGCCTCTTTTTAAATTTGGCATAGATATGCCTAGCATACTGCCTATGTTCTGCTATTGAGAATACTTCTTTCACTGCCTCAACCAAACCCTGCATATGTAACATGATGGAATGAAGTTAGATTGTAAATATTCATTATACAACATTTAATATTTTGAACCATACCTTGTATTGATCATAAATTAAAACCAAACCATGTCCTTCATTCCAACACTGCAAATCTTCTAAAAGATTCTTAATGAACCATTTCCATTTCTCCTTGTTTTCCACACATACAACCGCCCAAGATATCGGGAATATTCCATTTTTTGCATCCATACGCACAACACAAAGTAACTCACCTTGGCAAAAAAATTTCAGGAAATAACCATCCAGGTTAATGATCCTTGTACACCCTCCCCTCCATCAGGCATTGCATCAACATAAATTTTAACTGTCGATCCATGATTTGATCTTTTAATCTCCTTACCATATGACCATATTCTAGCATAATTTTCTGCAGCTATGCCTTCAGCTAGAATCAATGCATACTTCTTGGCTCTCCTACACTGACTCATACTCACATCAATGCCAAAAGTTGTTTTCACCTCCTCTCTAATCAATCTGACACTCATCTTTTGATTATTAAAAAATTGTTGAGTAAAGTGGGTACCCATCCATTTATAAGTGACAATTGAAAACAAATTTTAAATTCTTCACACAGTTATGGTCACTAATAAGAGACTTGATTTGGAAAGACTTATCATCACTCATCCATGAACCCCAAACCCTAAATGTACATTTTCCATCACAATATTTGGCTAGCAACTGTCTACTATCATTTTTTAAAAAACATAATTGATAACCATTCGCAACAACATAGTTATAGAGCACGTGTTTCAATTGTTTAGGACTTTCAAACCTTATACCTAACACAGGTTCCAGCCCATTCCAGTGTAGCTTTTCATTGAAAATATTTGGCAACTCAAGATAAACATCTTCATTGTCAGGCATGTATTTTTCCAAAGGCTCACCTACACCTGCTGCCGTGGTCATCTGCATCATCATCGGTATCCTAATCCTCAGCCCCATGTTCATCTTTATCCTCATCGTCAACCTCATCCTCATCCCTGTACCTTGTCTCAACTTCCTTAATTTGTCCTGCACCATTAATCAATTTTTCCTATATGTTATCAACAACCTCATCTTTGTGTTCATCCAACCATTCCTGCATGTTACTATTACCAAAATGGTCTACATACATAGGTAGTATAACACCACATTCATATGCAATTGCTATAAAGTCGACATAATCCAACTCACTACTAATTAAATTCAAACCTTTTGGAAAATCAATATCAGCTTGGCAGTAATAGAGCTTCTCACACACTTCTACACTGAACCTTTCGATGAATGCATAACACCCGTCCTTTTCCATTCCTGCGAAATTGATGTCCAAAAACCTTTGAGTAATCCCAACGGTGTAGCGTATGGGGTATTTGGTGAAGATTCATTGGAAGTGCACATCGACTTGGAAGAATACGGGCTCCATGTTTGAGGTTTGAGGACAAGAAAACAAGTAAGGGTTTACTGGAAGAGATGGAAGTGGTGAACAATATAGGGCAAAATGTCTCTTTTTGAAAACATATAACTTTGGCGTAGACAGTCAGCAACCTATGTGGCATTAATTAATGACATGGCAATCGATAAATAATATAGTCAGCACCCTAAGTCGTATCAGTAAAAGAGGTGGCCAAAATATGACCGACTGACCCCTTCACAAATTGAATAAGGACGTAACCGACACGACAACATTTAGTTTGTTCCCTCATAAAGCCACAAAAAAAGTTAAGTGACTACAGGGGTCAACCCTAGAAAGTTCATAGGGCATATATGTCATTTTCCCTAAATTCTAACGTATAGTACTATGATTCATTTTGGTATGGTATACATTTCCGATTATATGAGGGTTCATTTTGATGTTTTTCCTATTCTCTATGCAGTTTGCATGCTAAATATATAACTTGCTGAATTTAGAGTAGAAATTAATTCTAATTTACAAGCTTGTTTTAATTTTGATATTTTAGCAAGACGGGTTATGAGGTTGTTGATGACCATGACCAACCTAAAGGGAGAGAAAAACTAACGGTTAGAACTTTTCGTTGCTAAGAATCTATAACAACTTATATACATAGACAATTTTCAACATCTAAAAGTCGTATGTATTATAGTGTTTTATGATCATGTTTTGCAATAAAGTTTTATTAAAATTTGAATGTAAATTAAGCACATTTTATTTGATTGTAGTTTAGATTAGATCGTTGCTTTCAAAATCCCCTTTTGTTAGAAAATGATTAAATGCATGATTACTTTAGTGTATTTCTTTATTATTCCGAGGGCATCCAAAATGCATTGAACTCTAAAGACTTCAATGGATTGTCACATCATCAATATATATTTCATATAATTATAAATGTTTTTCCACGATGCATTGAACTTTACAAAGTTCAATGGAACATTACAAAAACTAATTGATAATACTTATTTGAAAATTACAACCTTCTTTTTTTTCACCGAAGAGTTCAATGACCATTGAATTCCAAATCCATTGAATGCCAATGTGTCATCTCACAGTGCTAGGGTTTAATCCATTGAATGAAAAATATACTTGCCACCTCATTTAACTCTCACATTGAACTCTCCATTATAGATACTTTATATATTTATCAATTAATGCTGTTTTCACACACAAACACACACACACACACACACACACACACATATATATATATATATATATATATATATATATATATACATATAATGTTTGGGGGTTTCACTACACATAAAATTTAATTTTCTCATTTTATATAAAACATATTTTAATTATTTATTTCTTGTATTTTATTAAGTTTTAGTATAAGACAATATGTGATTTGTATACCATTTGTAACACCAGTTCCAAGTATATATTCCCCTTTGTGTTTTTGGCATTTAAAGATTAAAATATGGAGTTTTGGTTGGCCATGTCGTGGTGGGGTAAGGCACCATGGCGTGGCCTTACCCGATGGAAACACACCTTCATTTAGAGTGCCACAACATGGTGGCCGCCTGTATGCAAAACCCTAATTTCGAGATTAGTCGCCTTATTTAAAGGATGCAATGGCTAGGGTTTGAACACTCCCAACCTCCATCACATCCCTTTCATCCCAAACAAACCCTAGCCTCCATTGTTGATCTTGTGAGCTTTTGTGGTAGTTTTTGGTCCTTTGAAGAAAAATAAGGTGTCTTTGGTGCATTGTTCCAGCAAGCAAATCTTATCCTTATCATTTTGTGTTGTTTCTGGACTCTTTTAAGTCCTCCAGCTTCTACATTTTGTGTTAAATCATGCTAATCTAGGCTTTTATGCATTTTCTACATGTTTGGGAGAGTTTGAGTGGATGGATTCCAAAAAGTTGGCATCTTTATGGATCCTTGAGGTCCTTTTGAGGTTTAAAGTTCCAGATCTGAATAGTGGTTGAGTTTTGGTTCCATGCATGAGGTTTTGACCTCATTTTCACCCTTTTTGACCTAACCAAGTTCAATACATGCATTCGAAATGCATGTCCATAGAGCAAGGGTTTTTATAAAGCTAATGGATGTTAGGAAGCTTTCTGGAAGAGATGAGAGTGTTAATTAATGGATTAAGGGCTTAGTCTATTAAGCTTTCCAAAATCAATTCCCACGGCGTGACATCTTGCTCACCACGCCATCGCGGAGGAGTTCTTTGCGACTGATTGTTTGGGTTGCTGTCACGATGTGGAAGTTGGTCTGTTTGTGACTGGTTCATCGTGGAGCTGCCACGACGTGGCTAGTGGATGGCCACAACATGGTGGCTAGTTGTTGATTTTGACCATTGGCTTTTTGAACAAGTTGACTTTTGGACAACTTGAGGGTTTTTGGGTTGTAGATTGAGGACTGGTCCATGATTGTTGTATAGGTGACTCGTAGTAGTAGTTCTTGGATTCGTATGAGCTGTACTGTTTACCTGCTAGACTGCAAGGTGAGTTTTCTCGCTATACTTTGTACCGTAGTATGTATCCTTGTGTGTAGGATGTTGGTATGCTCTAGTGATCTGTTAGATTGATAGATATGTTATGAAACCTGTGCTTTCTGGTTATTGTTTATATGTTTGCATATGTCGACATATTGTGGTTGGGTTGAGACGGTCCTGGTTTGTGTTGTAGGCC